GCTAAAGCCTGGGCAATGGGTCAGGATAAAATCGGGCATATATCGCGATGACTTAGCGCAGGCCAGTATTTATTTTACGCCTAGATTATTTAATTTTCAAGAATTATTAAATCACCCTTTTCCTTATAGGTCGAGTATGTAGAAGACGCTCAGAACCTAGTGTATCTAAAATTACTTCCTCGGATCGATTATGAACGGATTCGCAACCATGGTCAGGTGAATGATCTACAGTCTGGAACTGTTTCCAAGAGATTCAAACGTCCTCCGGCGGCTCCATTCTGCTCCGAAAAACTAGGAGATCGCATTGACCGCTTGCAGCAATCGGGTTCTACTATAATTTTCGAAGGAAACCGCTTTGACAGTGATGGATTTTTGCGCAAAGAATTCAGAATTACAGCTGTGGTACGATTTACAAACCTTGGTTACGTTATCGGAACAAATTCTTGATTCAGAGCACAAATCAGTTAATACGTATTCCTCCTAATTTCATTTTATTCCTTTAAAAGTAGGCCAGAATTAACGATGGCCAGTAAAGTAATGGAGTTTGAGTAAATATTAATGGAGTTTAAAAAATGCTTTACTCGGTTATCACTTGATTTTTATTTTGCTTCATTGTTGACGTATACGTCATGTAGAAAGATGAATTCTGTATTTGTAAATTAATTTAATTAATATTAGCATTATAACTCTTAATTTTGATATTACTATTCTCAGCTATGTTCATGATATAAATTTACGACGACTTTATGACACCTTTTTGAAGCCTATCTCACGTGAGTGGATTTCGATTATTGGCAACTCGCGTTGAATTAATGTGATATCATTGAAAATATGATTTGATCTAGATAAAATTAAGCCTTTAAAAATTATATTCAGCATAATGTTTATGTATCGGGTTTGTTGAGTTAAAAACGGTTATATAGACCAAAAGGAGAATGAAAAAAAAGTAGAAAAGCAGTAATTATCAATTAACACATTCAACTATATATACCCAAAAAGGAGTAGGGGGGGTTAATTTTAATACAAACGTAATAATTTTATGGTTTTACTTAGCATAGCTCTTAATAATTAATTTTCAGCTACACTTATTATTTTGATGAACAAGAAATTTTGGATAAATTTATACCCTAAATTTATTAGGAGATTATAACTTCAAATATACTCAACGTTTAACTAGAATTCTGCCTCTGTTTGACGATAATCAAAGGCAATTTTTAACTATATTTCAATATAGGATTATCTTTTTTCATTTGACATTTTTGTAGACAAGACAAGAGAAATCTGAAACTTTTTCCTTTAGCTGCTTTTGGTCCACTATATTAACTGGCGGCATTTGTTATGAGAATTTTCATTATTCCACACCTTAGTGACCTTTCTCTCTGTTAAGCTTGGCTTATTTCCACAAAGCACTTACATCTTTTGAGGAACTGCTTCTGATTTTTGAATAAACATTTGCACTGATATTGGTGTTATCAGCAAAGGCTTGTCCATATCCTGCAATGAGGCTAGTATGGTCATTTAAACTATTGGAAATTATCCTTTAGATTTGTACCCCTTTTTAGATTCCTCCATCTTCAATTTTTTCTATATACTTCACAAATGCACTAAAAGCCTTATCAACTTATTTTTCAGGCTTATGGTCAGATATGCCAATAACTTTTAATTATACTATTCTTTTCAGGTTGCCGGAGGCATTCGGCCTACTCTGGCTGAGTTAGAACGCTTCCATCAGACGCCAGATGGTAACCAGTTAGCTCTTGCAGCCGCTCATGCTGTTGATACTTCTTTGGCCTTTTCTGACAATGGTTTGCTTGGTTTGGAGCTTGGCAGCGGGGTCGGTGCTTCCAATAATGCTGAACTGGTCACGCATTGCTTTGCACCTGGTGACGTGGTTGAGGTTTCTGAAGGTGATCTGAAGAACCTTCGCGGCCGCGTCGTGTCTGTCGATGGCAATCGGCGTATTATTGTCCAGCCCAATCACTCTGATCTTCACGAGCCCATCCCCTTTACGGCACTCGAGTTGAGAAAGTATTTCAACCAGGGTGATCATGTTAAGGTGATTTAATAGAAAACTATTCATTAGATTAGATACATTCACCCTATTTTGTTTATGGTGATGAAGAGCTGGTAATTGAATTATCCCACAGTAATATGTGTAGACGTAATAGCTTCATTGAATTTAACATATCCTTGTTCCCAAAAGGTATTCGTATCCAGGGTGCACTGCAGCTTCAACCTCGCCTAGGTTTTACTAATACTCATCAAAACCCAACTTTTCTTCGTCATAATATGTTCCTTCCTTTACTATGGAGCTATACAATTTGTTAAAAAAACGCTCCCTATATCTCATATGTATAATTAGATTATTTAAAATTACTTTTGTTTTATAATTATTTCATTCCATATTTTTATTCCTTTCAATATTAATACAAATTTAATTTTGAAGCCAGAATATTGGAACAATATTTTAACCCTGAGAGACTGGCTTGAGTTTCCACGTCGACTGTTCTCCTAGGTTGCTTATTTAAGATTTTTTTATTCTTTCAACCATGTAGGAATCTTACAAATAAGGCGATTTTAGATGCTATATTTACTTAGGACTGATAAACTTATCTGTAAAATCGGCATGCAAACGAGATCCTAAATATTTCTTAAGCATATATCTTATTGATAATACAGACAGCAAACCTATTTGTATTGTCATTTTCCTTTCGCCTAATGACTTTGGCTTTAAAATTTTCAGACATTTGCATATGATAAAGGTTTTAATTGCCACTCAATCTTCTGTACTTATACTTTCCCATAGGAAGAGACGTATGCTCACGAAGCCAATAGATTCGGCACTGTCTGTGTTCTTCGATGCGTTATGTCTTAAATAGAGCCAATTTTCCCAAAGTATTACCTGAACGGAATAGTTTTCTTTCAAGGGATTTTTTGCCGCTGTAAACTTTTTCAAATATTTGAACTATTCACTTGTTACTTTAGCCTGGTAAATGACGATCTCTGTAAAACTTTAAGCTGCTTACGCTGCCTTCCTTTCTTCATGGTTAACGAACTTTCTCGTAAATGCGGATTTATTTTGGGATCCAACATTTTACCTAGCTAATAAAAATTATTTAGGATAGCTTCAGAATAAAATAAAATTCCCTTTTTTAATTCTTATGGAATGTATGGGTCGGCACGTTATAAGACAAAAGGGCAAGGCATTGGGATGTATGATGTACTTCGAGATTTATCATCGTTTGTCACGTTAGTTCAATTTATTAGAATATATCGATGCTTACAATAAGAAATAGTCAATGGGGATTATTTGATGACTATTACACATCGGAAGGAACTATTCGCCGATACCAAACAGCATGCGATTTGCTGTTGTAAAATTAATTCAAATTTATTTTTTCCCGCTTATTGCGAATAATGAATACAGTGGAGGAACTGCATTTATTGCCATATTTTAATATTAGGTTTTTCATGAAAATCAGCTTTTCAATAATTAAGGTATTTCACTCAAGTGATATTTTAATAAGAAAGCTTCCATCTGTTTACTACTTGGACATTTTTAGTTATACTGGGCAAGGAGAATTTTCCTTTGCCATTTTCGGTAGGTAATGGTATTTTAGATTATGA